ACGAGCTTTGATAAAGGGTTTTGTAGCAGAGATGTGGGTGAGATACATGAAAGATAAGGTTATGTACATATATATTATATATTTAAAGTCATGTTTGGTTGTAATATTTAGAGTAGAAAATAAATAAGGGCATTTTCGTCTGAAAAAATCATATATTATGTCATGTGCTTTTCATGTGACTTATTTTCATCCAATTTTTAACAATTAGCTAATAGAAGGATTTTAGTGTCACAATATGAGGGTTATATTGTTGAGTTTTAAACATCAAGAAGGTAAACTATAAATGAGCTTTAGTTTTTTTTTTTTTTTTGGGGGGGAGGGGGGGTTATTGTAATTTATCCAAAAAAAAAAAAGTTTAATTTGTATTTCATTAACTTTTTTCTTCCTTCTTTTTTACCTCCTCAAATCGAAACAAAGCTTTTAAGTTTTACAACCTTGGAAAGAAAGGGTTTATTGATATTCAGGATTACTTCCAAAAAACCACTTCCTCACTAGGAAAAGAGTGTCAGTATAGAAAATGAGTTGGATATACTTCATAAATTCATAATAGAGTTGTTTTTCTTTTCATTTTTGTAAGCATTACATTTCCAGTTCATTAAGCATTATTGTTAGCACCATAAATCTGCAATTTGGAGGTTATGAGAAGTTATGAAATATGGAAAGATGATGGAGAACATGGAGCATGAAGTGAAGGTTGAAGGAAGTTATGGAATATCATGGAATATGAAATGGAGGAGATGGAAGAATGTGTAGTTTTAAGTAGTTTTTTCCTACAAGTGTTTGCCCATAAATAGTCATTCATGGCTACATTGTAAGAGATCCAAGAACTCAAATCAAAGACAATTGATTTATGTTTTTCTTGTCATTTATATTTCCTGCACTTAATTTTTTGCACTTTTTTTTATGCACTTCATTTTCGAAGCATAGGAGTAGAGGTAAGTTGGACATGTGGCATCCTCTTACTCATTTGAAGGTTATGAGAAGTTATGATATGTGGAAAGATGACGGAGAACAAAGTGGAGAACATAGAGCATGAAGTGGAGGTTGAGGGAAATTATGGAAGATCATAGAATATGAAATGGAGGAGGTAGAAGAGTGGGTAGTTTTATGTTGTAAAGGATCCAGAATTCAAATCAAAGACAATTGATTTCAATATTTCTTGTCATTTTCCTTGTCTTATGAGTAGTTTAACATAAATTTATATTTCAAAGCATTTATTTTCAACACTTCATTTTCTGCACTTTATTTTATGCACTTCATTTTCTAAGCATAGGAGTAGAGGAAAGTTCTCTGCACTTTATTTTATGCACTTCCTTTTTGAAGTATAGGAATGGAGGTAAGTAATTATTATTTTGATTGTTCACTCAATCGTCTTTCACCATCTCCCTCATTCTTCTTTTAATTTTTCTTTTCCTACACTTGGCAATTTTGAACTCTTCTTTGTTGAGGCAAAAGAACCGTCAACGCAATCACTTGATAATTGGCTTGAATTTAATCTGTAAGGATTTTTCAATCCTTGCTGGCACACTCGCATTTATGATATTTTCTTTCGTAGGAAAAATAAGCCAACAATTTTTGGCACACCCAGTGGGACGTCAAGTGTAAGAAATGAAAAATGAATTGGATTTGTCCATTTCAAATAGCCTAGATGAAATATATTGGTGTAAACAAAAAATTTTGGATCTTCAAAAAGAGATCCATTTTCTTGATGAAATAAACTTTCATCCCTTACAATATTATTTGGTTGAAGAAAAAAAACACAATTTAATTGGAGAAATTCATCAACTTGATATGGAAATTCGCTAATGGAATGATGAGTTATCAATTCTCACTACCAAGTCTTTAACTGAGGCTTTAATGGCCGGAATTGGTGAATTTTTTCAGAATTTTTCCATGGTTAAAAATAGCAAAAGCAAAGATTTGATTTCATCAATTGCTCGGGGGGTTCAAGAGCCCATTTTTAAAGAGCCAAATTATGAAATTAACATAACGAAAGAGCATGTTCTTGAGCCAAATTTGGCTAAGAATGATGTTTCATGCATGGCTCGGGGGGTCCAAAAACCAATTTTTAGAGAGTCAAATCATGAAAATAACATACTTATAGGGATTTTCATAAGCCATTAATGGCTAACACGGAAAAACAGCCCACTTTTCCAAAGAATTATGAAAATCAATTCGGCAAAAGTCATGTTTTTAAACCAAACATGGTCAAGAATAATGAACAAGCCACTGTTCATGATTCAAAATTTTTGACATTTTTCAAAGTGTCAAAAAGTATGAATTTTCATGGTCACACTATACCATGACTTTTGTTGTTCAAAATCCCTTTTGGATTTGTGGATCACATCAAATGTTGACTTTGATGGAATAGCTAACAAATAATATTTCGTTATTGCAATATATTGGGCCAAAAATATGATGATTTGTTTATCCATAAAACCATCACCATTTGGTTTTGTGGTTACCTTTGAAGCATGTCCCAAGACACTTCGAAACATGTTATTAAGAACATGTGAGGGTTGTTAAATCTATTTTCAAATGATAAATGGTTCTATTGTTATATGTATTCATTGAAATATCATTTTATAGCCACTAATGGCTAATTAAAACGTCAAACTAATTTCATAGTAATCCAACTCTTCGGATTTGGTTCAAAGAGATGTCGTGAGCACTTTCGAAGGACGACTTTGATCCTTTAGTAACATATGTGACTTTCGAAGGGTGATTTTGTCATCAATGAACACCCTCGAAATGTAACATGGGACGAGAAAGCTTTCGAAATGTGTACATCCCTTCAAATATATGTAAAATGGCAATTAATTAATTGTCAAATAATACCTATTTTTGGCATGATAATTAGTGGCTTTACTGATAAACATTTTTATAGTCATTTGTTACATGAAAATGTAACTAGTATTCTACAAAAGTTGGTTCGAAGAACAACGGTTTTGGTGTCTTTGGAGAATTAATAATTGGTTCGAAACATAAAATTAATATTTTCATTAATTATGTGTGAACCAGAACATATAAAATTTGAATAACTACAATGTTGGTCAAAAGTTACTTCGAAAGCCCTTTTGCCATAATTTTATAAGCTTCGAAGCACTCCATCTTGCATCAACAACAGTTTTGAAGAAAGAAAATTGGTGGTTGTGAACCTTCGAAGCTTTGCCAAGTATTTCTAAGGATGTAATTCGTCATTTGTTGACACCTTCGAATGTTGATTTTGGTTCTCTATACCACCTTCGAAATTGTTTATTTAGCATGTGTAATAGCTTGTTAAGGTGAATAATTGGCTTTGCCTTAAAAATATAAGGTTCTGAATGATTTTAAATGCGAACAACATTAACCTACTTCAAAAGGTTCCAAGTTTTCTAAGTGTTTGAAGTACAAGTAACACCAAAATTGCTTAATTTTCTTCAAAGGATTGATGCCGATTCGAAACACATATGTAATATCTCTTTAAGGCACATATACAATTCGAGACATCTAGTCATAATTTCATGCTCATTCGAAGCACTTATTGGTGCTGTTATATCATTCGAAGCGCTTTTTTGATATTATTTGAAGCACTTTGTTGCTTAGATTAGTCATGTGCTTGGTTCAGCCCTTCAAAAATTCAAGTAAATATCATTTTTAAGGGCTGCATGGGGTAATGTTAGCACCATAAATCTGTAATTTTTTTATTATTTATTATTTATATAATTGTAGGACATGTGGCATCCTCTTACTCATTTGAAGGTTATGAGAAATTATGAAATGTGGAAAGATGATGGAGAACATGGAGCATGAAGTGGAGGTTGAAGGAAGTTATGGAAGATCATGGAGTATGAAATGAAGGTGGTGGAAGAGTGGGTAATTTTAGATAGTTTTTTCTGCAAGCGTTTGCCTATAAATAGCCATTCATGGGTACATTGTAAAGGATCTAGAATTCAAATCAAAGTCAATTGATTTCAATATTTCTTGTCATTTTCCTTATTTTAGGAGTAGTTTAATATAGATTTATATTTCGAAGCATTTATTTTCAGCACTTCATTTTATGCACTTCATTTTCGAAGTATAGGAGTAGAGGAAAGTTCTCTGCACTTTTTTTTACGCACTTCCTTTTCGAAGCATAGGAATAGAGGTAAGTAATTATTAATTTGATTGTTCACTCAATCGTCTTTCTCCATCTCCCTCATTCTTCTTTTAAGTTTTCTTTTCCTACACTTGGCAATTTTGAAGTCCTCTTTGTTGAGGCAAAAGAACCGTCAACGCAATCGCTTAATAATTGGCTTGAATTTAATCTGTAAGGATTTTTCAATCCTTACTAGCACGCATTTATGGTATTTTCTTTCGTAGGAAAAATAAGCCAAGAATTACATTTCCAGTTCATTATGTGTATTGATATACAAAAGGAGATTACAAATCAGTGAGAGTTAGAGAAATTATTTATGAAAAAAAGATAAACATTATAAATATTAATAATTAAAATTATAAATTTTATATTTTATATTTTATACTTTTTTATATATAATTTTTCTGCATTCCACTGATCTATAATTCTCCCATATACAAATAAAAAGTACACTATTGAGACTTATCATTTTAAAATAAAATATTAATATCACATCATTCTAGTAAAAAAGTAAGTAAAACAAAGGCCCATTTTGGAAAAATTGACTTTTTAAATTTTTTTTTAACTTTTTTAAGTCACATCACATTTTTACTTTTTTTTTTTATTTTTTTATAAATTCAAAAAAATAAAAATAAAAAAATTAATTTTTAACGTACATTCCAAAACACTCTAAAATAAAATAAAATAAAAATTACTCATCTTATGTATCATTCAAGTAATAAAAATGTTTTTTATTAGATGGAAGCTCTTTTACATAAACCCGAGTATAAGGTTGCTAGTACCAACCACTGTTACAGATTGGGCTAGCTACAGAGCCCAGTGACTCTTTAATATAAAATTCCCCTTTGTAATATATTTTTGTCCAAATTAGAGCCCATTTACAAACCCTATAAATCTCTTTTGTCACATTTCATTCGTTTTCCATCCTTACTCTCATCAGCTGGAGACTCCTCCACGGCGCGACGTTTGTTCTCTCAAGATTCTCAAGTGTTGGTTCCTTCTTCTCTAATGCTGTGTTTCGTTGGGGATTTGGGGAGGGATTTGGAAAGGGAAAGGGAAAGATGTGTGAAACTAGGTAAAATATAGGCATATTTTATTCACATTTCACCTACCTTTTCCATTTCCCTTTCCAAATCACTTCCAAAATTTCTCAACCAAACACAGCATAAGAGCGCTCTCTCTCGCTCGCTGGCTTGCTTCGCCGTGTTCTACAAAATGGTATGTAGAATTATTGTTTATGTTTTATTTCATTTGCAGTTAGATTTAGATATATAGATAGATACAACTATGGTTTGCATAAACTATTGGAGGGTTGAGCCTATGTAATTTATAAATATTGATTATCACTATATTTAAGGAGCTTTTTCAAAACATAAGGGTGGCCACTGCCATCAGTCATCCATCCCTGTGTATGTATGTATATATGAGAGAATACATATCATGAAAAGGAAATAGCAAAAAGATAAAGAGCTGTTGGAAAATCCAGGATTGTTTGTTTTGTTTGTGATTAGAGTCGTTTGGTGAAGAGGCCAAAAGCTGTTGAATAAAAAATAATTTTATATTTTTGGGGGTTCTACACTAGCACCCCACAATTGAGGCCTATAATACGGGCCCTCTTTATGTTGTGTTTGGTTGGAGGATTTGGAGAGGGATTTGGAAAGGAAAACGGAAAAGGTAGGTGAAATGTGAATAAAACATACCTATATTTCACCTAGTTTCACACACCTTTTCTCTTTCTCTTTTCAAATCCCTCTCCAAATCCCCCAACCAAACACAGCATTAGGGAAAGCTGATGGAGTTGGTTTTATGGGGTGAGACTCTCCAAAATATCTAAAAGGTAGAGGATTGGAGATGCTCCAAGAATAAATTCAATCATTAAGTTTCCAACTACTTTAACATTTTCTTAATTTTTAGCATACATTTCAAGAGTCGCTTAATTTTGCAAGTGACACTGATGGTGGTTATCAAACGAATTTATTTAATTTTCACTTAATAAGTTAAGTTTTAAGTTTTGAATTAAGTTATCAAACACTACCCAGATCTGTATGAAGTTCGTTGTCTATTGACTAAACTGGGGTCCCTTTTTGTTGAACAGGCACTGTTTTTCCATCATTCTCCACCTGCTCGTTCAATTTTAATTCCCATTGACAGATTCAGTACCTTGCCAGTAGAGATAAAACTCAATATTCTAGAGCACATTTCTTTTGAAGAAGCCGCAAGAGCCAGCATCTCAAGGACAATTAATTGGTCTGAACATCCACAAGTCATACTTGACAAACCCCTCTTTGATGAGTGGGGCCGATGGATTCGACTCGATCCAGGTGCATGGGCGGACAAAGTTACTAGAATTCTCTCTAATCATCATGAAGTTCCCATTCGAAAGTTTATTCTCCACATTCCGGACATGCAATTTAAGTGGGCCCTATATATAAATATCTGGCTATCATGCCTGTCAAAGAATAGTATTAACAAACTCTCCGTCGATAATTGGAGTATTTTTACATTTAAGCTTTCTTCTCTTCTCTTTGAGTGCTCTGAATTGACACGATTGATGCTCCATAATTGTGCATTCTACAAATCATTTGGAGTCTTTCAGAATCTCCGATTCCTTCGTTTCGAGAACATAGCATTTGGTTCTGTCAAAGTTGGTGAGCTTACACTCAGTATCCCATCGCTTGTGCAGGCGGAGCTTGTAGATTGCACAGGCAGGCGCCAGGACTCCAGAATTTTGTTGTTGCCAGCAGTGGTGGAATCAACGTTGATGATGTGAATCAGGTGAGGTTAAAGCTGGCTCATTTTTGGAGGTGCGTCCTCTCTCCAACTTTTTTAACTCATTTTTTTTTCAAAAAAAAAAAAAGGTGAAAAAGTTACTAAAATAGGCTGTTCCCAAACGAGAAAAAATATGTAAAAAACAAAGAGGTGATGTGACTTGAATAAGTCAATAAGTTGGCTTTTTTTTCTTCTTCTCGTTTTGGGTCTGTTATATTCGTTTTGTAAAATGTTTAAGATCCAAAGTTTTTTTTCTCATAATTTAATTCACAATGATATAGTATGATACATGTCAATTTTGGATTTGTCACATATTTGATTGTGTGGAATTTATCTCTCGTCACATTACTATGGATAAATTTAAGAACTCAATTTACTAGTATGTAGCACTACTCATTTCTTTTCTCCAAACGTTTCCAATGCTGGAAGCTTTTTTTGAGGATGGGTATCACTTGGGTTTTGTTTGTGGCAACTGAGGATGAATGCAATGTACTTGAAACTCTATGATTTGAACTTTTATTCTTATTGTATTGTAATTGTGTGAAATTTATCTCTCTTATCACATCACTATGGATAAATTTAAGAATTCAATTTATGAGTATGTAGCACTACTCATTTCTTTGCTCAAAACGTTTCTAATGTGGGAAGCTTTTTGTAAGGATGGCTATCACTTGGGTTTTGTTTGTGGCAACTGAGGATGAATGCAATGTACTTGAAACTCGAGGATTTGTAGTTTTATTCTTATTATATTGGAGAATAATGATTATCTTCTTCTTAATTTTGTTTTTTCAATTTCACCTCTATGTCATTAGAGGTGGAATTGAAGGGACAACATTAGAAGATATAGCACCACTAATCTTGGTAAATTAAATTCCTTATTTATGTTTTTCCCTATGTTTGGATTGTATCTTGAATTTGTGAATGAATTTATAGGAGAGAAAAGAAAAAGGGAGGGATTTGTGGGGAAAAGAAATTTAAAACTAATTTCTATTTATGGTTTGTTTTGGACCACCTAAATAAGCAGTTTATTTATTTATTATAAATTATCACATCACTTCTAAATTTTTATGTATATTTTTTTATAAAAAGTCAATGAGCTAAAAAATAAGCAAATCTTAAACCACACCGAAATTGAGTTGGTAAGCCTTAAAGCAACTCCAACGGAAGAGGTATATTGATCCTGTTAGCTATTATAGCTATTATAGCTAATATTACCCTAATATTCTCACTCCAATGGGCTGGCTAAATGGCTTCCTATTTTCCCTCGTGCCTTCTCCGATGGCTTCAATTGGAGAGTGATTGAAGGCTCTCCTAACACGTCTCTCCCACGAAATCGATCTGCTCCTTCTCCAGACTCGTCTCTCCTACGAAATCGATCTGCTTCTTCAGCGCGAAATCGATCTTTTCCTTTAGCGTTGTCTGCAACTCCCTTCATCTGACCTCTTCCTCAAGGTATGGATCCTTCTATCTCTTTGTCTTCCCGTTCTATGCAACTCATAAACCCCCCCTCTCTCTCTATCTATCTTCAACTCTTCCCCTCCCATATCTGCAAAACCCAAAATTGAAACCCCTATCTGTGTTCGTTGTCTGCATGTTCTTTTCTTTGTTTTTCACATGTATGTATCTGCGATTGGTAGCCTTGTCTGCTGCTGCTACAGTTGTTTAGATTTATGTATGTGAAAACATTGCTGATTTTAATTGGTTTAAATATTATTTTTTTGCTAAATTCAATTATCTTAAGACGCCAATATGATGGGTTTTGGGAAAGATCAAATTGGGTTTGTTTTCCTTTTATCAGTTCTTTGATTTGCAGGTTATGTTTATGTGTTTTATTTGGGTTTTGAGAATAACTTCTGTGAAATTTTGAGGTGGTGTTACCCTGTTCCCTTGAATATAGATAATGTTTAGTTTCTGAATTTTACTTTCAATGATCAGCAATCAGGACATAGAGATAAAATTAGTTTATGAATCAAGACCTGCAAATCATTGGTCAGCGATTTGAATGTTTTTAGTTTATGAAATAGGTCAGACATAATATGATTAGTTTTTTGTTTTTTGTTTATGTCATAAACTTTCAATGTTTATGTCTTGAATTTCATAAACCAATGTTGGCCATGTAACCTGCAAATCATTGGGCAGCGATTTCCTTGAATAAAATTTATGTAACAATTGTCTAGTTGAAGAGGATGTCCTGATTGGTGAATTTTACTTTCAATGATCAATGTTAGTTTTTAATGTGTTCCTATTTTTTAGAATTTTCATCTTTTCAGAAATCCTAATGATCAGAAGGTTAATGAGTTGACTTCTTTGTTACTTTTGCTTGATGGTGTTTCCTAGAGGACTATTGTGTTAACAAGAGAGTGAAGAATATCCATTCTTTGGGTCTTTTTCTTGTAAATCTTTCTTTGATAGAATCATTGATGATCCTAAAGTACGACTTTTTAAGCCTCATAACAATTTTGGATGCATATGTGCCTCTTAAACTCAAAATTTTTTATTGGTCTTTGGCTCATAATAAGATCAATAGTAGGAATGTAAACATTCTGAACGCGAGACAAACAATAAAGTTGAGGTAACAAATGATTTAAAAAAAATCATCCCTGGTCCAACTGAACCTCACAAAACGACTATTTCTCCCATTTCCTGAATGAAACAAATTAAATCATAGAATAAATCCAACAATTGAGAAATGCATTGCCAAGGAGCACATGAATTTTTCTAGTTAATCACTTTAGAATCCCACCAGATGGCTTGAAGCCTGTACTTATTTTTAATGATAGAATTACCAGTAAGAGTCTTGTTCCATGTAATTGAGGGCTGCCTGTTGGTGTGGTTCCTGGACTGTTTCATCTGGTGTGTATGTTCTGCTTTAATCTGAGGGCTCTTTTTGGTCTGTATCTGATGTGTTCTGGTTTGTAGTGGCTGCTGTTTTGGTGTTTTGGGTGGATTTTAGGTGACCTGGGATGATCTGGTACATTGGCGGTGAATGGGTTACACTGGTGAATGGGTCTTATTAGCATAAGGCTCCCCTGCTGTCTTTGTATCTATTGTTGCAAGCCCTACTGTTGCTGCTGTTCCTCTGCTGCTGGTTTTGTCAGCTTTGGTGTTTGTGTTTTCTGTGTATTTGTTGGTACCACACTAACATAGACAAAATACAATACTCTTCCCTCTTTCCTTTTTTTAAACATTTCGGATCATGTTTTTTTATTTTTTTAGATAGAACATTTCGGATCATGTTAAAATGCCTCCCATTTCAACAACAAAAAAAAAAAGTAAATAATTTTCAGGTGTGCAAGGTAGAAACAATCAGACTCGTACACGTGTACTCTTATGACAAATCAAGCCTGTGCTCCAATCAATGGAAATAAATTCAAAAAATCAAGATAATTGATGTACATGTATCTTACTAATGAGATGAATCTAGTATAATAATGCATAATCGTTGAAAAGTTAGAGAGAGAGAATGGCTCGAAAAAGTGATCCAAAAAGCTTTTTTTCGGACTGATATACAAACAAGTCCGCTCAAGCGTCAAGCCCAAAATCTGGACATCAACCCTTGGTTTCCAAACACAACCAACCTGTTTCAAACCTGCCCAACACGACCCAAGACTCATATACAAAAAGTAAAGGATGGAAACGGGAATAAGACAACAACACATCTACGGAACCGAGTTCGAAATACAATTAAACAATGAAGGGAAAATCGGGATCGCTATATCAAAGCCACACAAAGAAGGTAGGGTTTTGGCTTAAACCCTCTTTTCTTCATGATAGTTTTAGTTTCAACAATATTACAATTCAATATTCATTAACCTGACCTATTACCGGTTATTCTATCTCTATTCAAGAGGCAACTCACAACATATAACATAGTTCACAATTCCATAACATATTCAATGCCAATAATATATTTGCATTTCTATAACACATTTAACATATACAATGCTAAATTAAACTTCTATTTTCAAGGCATGACCAACCATTACCATACTTCCAATAACCTAAACATACTTAATGTTTTTCAACTTAAGACACATTCAGTGCGCTTAAAGTTTATCAGTACAACAAAATTCCCAATACATGGTTAAATATTACCAAACAAGTCCAGATACTTCTCATGGACATCCAACTCACGTTCCCACGTGGCTTCCTCCACCCCGTTATGTTTCCACAACACCTTAACTAATAGAAAAATCCTGCTTCGCAAGACTCGATTACAAAGATAACAGTATGACACAATCAACCACTACAGTGTTCTGAGACATCCACCACGTCTCGACTACTAACAATACTCAGACCAGTATCTAGTACTTAATACCTCAACATAGGAAACACGAAAACATTCGTACACCAGGCCTCCGGTCAACTTTCACAGAACGAGGACGTAAAACGAGACACGGGTAATGAACAACATACGAACCAAGCACTATCACACATCGTACTAGGCAAAACCTCCTCACTTACTGCAAGTTATCTTACGCCCATACTGAATCCCTCATTCAGGGATTTCACTCGCCACCTCGACTAAACTTATAATAACAAAATTTGCATACTCATTCCCTCGTACCGAATTAGCTAACAAGGGTTTACCACGCCGCAACACTTATCACTACCACATAACTGTTCGTACCGAACACACGCAAATATAGTACCTTCATTCGTTAATGACCTATAGGGTCTACTCTTTATTCCGCATCCTACTTGTCACTCGTCTTGAGAGTACAATCAAGACACTAAGCCTCCGTGCCAAATCATTTGCCACCACTACCACTGAACCACTGCTTAGAACCAAACTCTGGCGCAATCGCATGTCGCCGACAAGGCTTTCAAAGACGCACCATCCTAACTCTCCAGAAGAGTAAGAGTCCTCACCCTCATCGCTATCAACTCAAACCTTCATCTACAAACACCATACCACTGTGACTCTACTCACAGGTCACATCTTAACCACGGGTTATACACCCAACCAACCCTACTGACAACATCTCCTAACCTAACCAGTATTAAGGTACACACCTAATGCATTTAAACATAGCAAAAGAATCCTTCATCTGCAAACACCATACCACTGTGACTCTACTCACGGGTCATATCTTAACCACGGGTTATACACCCAACCAACCCTACCGACAACATCTTAAACATAGCAAAAGAATCCTGAAACTTAAGAGAATATCCATTATACTACTACCCAGGATATAATACCAGTTGCTCACAACACGCCACTCCCCGATGCCAACAACCACAATCTTAACAAGGGCTAACACTCC